TGGTATTTCTCAAGATTCTCATGTTCCTCCTCCCTGATGTTGCTGTCACTCTGTATAACATCTGTCATTATGACCACCTCCCTCTGCTTGTCCACCACTGCTATGTCTGGTTAGTTTGGCATCACCAGTTTGTCTGTCTGTATCTGGAACTCCGAAAGGATCTTGGCTCAGTCATTCTTGACCACCCTCGGGGGGGCATCCCATTTTGACCTCGAGACTTCCGATGTATCTACATACTATGCTAGCCTCGGTCATGGCGCTCCATGTATGCCTTGCCTGCTAGCATCTTGCACTCTGCTGTCTCAGTGCTGGATTGTCTCAGGGGCATCTTTACACAGCCTGCACCTGAGGTCTTGCCTTGTAGACCCCAGCATCTATGGATCGTGTACTTAGTTCCTGTGTTGCCAAGATTAGTGCCTCTGTGCTGTCTTTCAGTCCAGCTTTGTCCAGCCACTGGTAGGATTTCTGGATGTCAGCAACTTTTTCTATCCCTGGTCTCTGCATGCACGGTTTCCACCTTGAAGCTTGGAGGAGGAGGTGTGATGATGTGGGGGGGCTTTGCTGGTGACACTGTTGGGGATTTATTCAAAACTGAAGGCACGCTGAGCCAGCATGGCTACCACAGCATCCTGCAGCAACATGCCACCTCGTTATTTTTAACAGAGCAATGACCCCAAACACACCTCCAGGCTGTGTCTGGGCTATTTGACTAAGAAGGAGAGATGCAGTGATGTGTCAGATGGCCTGGCCTCCACAGTCACCTGAACCCAGTGGAGATGGTTTGGGATGAGATGGAGCGCAGAGTGAAGGCAAAGGGCCAACAAGTGCTCAGCATCTCTGTGAACTCCTTCAAGTCTGTTGGAAACCATTTCAGGTGACGACCTGATGAAGCTCACGGAGAGAAGGCCAAGAGTGAGCAAAGCAGGAATCAAAGCAAAGGGCTGTTAGGAAGGATCTGAAATATAAAACATGTTCTGAGTTAGTTCACACTTCTTTTCCTTTACTACATTAATTCCAGTGTGTTCATTCATAGTTTTGATGCCTTCAGTCAGAATCTATCAACATCGAAGGATAACAGCTACCTTCAGGTTTAAGGTGTGGTTGAGCCAAACCTTAAACCTCCTTCTAAATGAAAATAGAGAAAACCCATTAATGATAAGGTGTGTCCAAACGTCTGACTGATACACCCACACACACACCACACACACAACACACACAGCCAGTAGGCATTAACACACTACACACACACACACACACACACACACACACACACACACGGAGAGCGCAGTAAGGCTTATTAACACAGTTTCTTTATAATGCTTCTTACTCCTTGCTGCTGCAGTGCCTCTGTGTTCAGCTTGTAACCATGACACACCTGAGTTAATTTAGTGTCACCTTCGTCTCCTTTCAGCAATTAGACAGGCCTGGGAATCTGTTGCTGCTCCCTCCAGTGTCCTGATTGTTCCTCGCCTCCTGCAGCTTGTTAAATTTGTACTTTACACATTAAGCTCTTGCTTTTACCCACAGAGACTTACCATAAGTGAAAATGGCAACGTGAACATCTGTGATGTGCTGTGATATTTAAATAGATCATTCTTGGTAAAAGGTATTTCTTTTTTCTATTACTGTAAGGTGAAACCTGATTCACTTTATGGCAGCGGTTGGAGAAATGAAAGGGAAACTAAAGAATATGAATGTAAACATAAATAAATGGGGAAGTGAAAAGTACTGTTATATCACTTATACTCTTAACACTGTCTTCTATTTACAGCACATCTATATGTACATCCCTGTTTGACACTTGCAAACAATGTGAATAAAGAAATTTAATGTAACGTAAATATAACATATAACATAAAGAACTTGCTCATAGGGGGTCATGTGATCGTTGGGCCTTTCTCTGTTTTCTTTCTATTATTGTTTGGTCTTTACCTTACAATATAAAGCGCCTTGAGGCGACTGTTGTTGGGATTTGGTGCTGTATAAATAAAACTGAATTTAGTTGAATGTCACGGCTTGCATCTACTTGTCTTTGTTAGACAAAGAACAACGCTGTCAGACTCTCATTAGGCTTGCAAACCTAGCATTTGAGTTTCGAGTACCTTCAAGTACTAAATAAATAAATGCCTTTTATATTCAGCTAACTCAGAACTCCATCTTTTTCATTTTACAGTGTTAGGGACAATTATAGCTCACTTTCCTCAAGATAGCTTCATAATGTCACAAAGAGACAGAAAGAGAGGTAAAGATAAGGGAGTGCTTACACAGAGAAATGACTGAAAGGCATGCTGGCATGTCAAATGCATTGTTTTTTTTTGACTGATACTGACTGCCAACTTATTATACAAAGCACACAAGAGCTGTGACCGTAACTCATGCACCCACTCATGTGCTGACAATGGAAATCCATAAAGAATAATGCAACAGTAAACGCTTTAGAAAGAAAAACTAGCTATGACAAATTGCCACCTACAAATTTGTTGTTTTATACACATTTTGTTGCATGCATTTTGCTAGATTAGCAGTAAAATGCAAGGTTTACAGGTAAGCCTGTTAAGTAAGGAAAGTGCTGTATAATGAGCTGTTATTAAAAAACATAGCATAAGCTTCAAAAGGTAAGAGCACTACACGTGTTACGTTAAAGCTATTAAAATACAAAGTATCAGACAGAAAATATCAGACGGCTGTGTGTGCTGGAACCAGGTTCTCCTTCATTCTGCAGACTGCATTTTAAGGTTTTAGAAGATTTAACCGAACATGGGACAAGAAATGATACAATTTCTTATGATCCGATCAATTAAGTAATAAAAACAGTGAGAAAGTCTATTTTGAAGACCTACAGTAAGGTGCAGTGATGTGAGATTCCTCTGGTGGAAGGAGCTTAGGAAAGACAGGAGCGCTGTCGATGTTTTTGTTTCATTTGTATACAATATACAGTATCCGGTCGTTCAGTCTGACGTCACTAGCCGTGTCTGGGCCTAAACTCCGCTGCAGGTCCATATATCAAACGATCACTATGGCATTACTGAGAGTTGAAAAACTGTCTAAAGTCTTTCATCTTTAATAAAATGATCAGCGTTCTGCTCTACCAGGTGTAACAATTGAGTTTAACATCCAGGCATCCATGAAAACGGAATTTATGACATTTAACGGAGTTAGAAGTTAGCAGGAAGTTAGCTCGCTAGCTTCTATCTAAATACAATATAGCATGTCCTGACTGCGGGGTTTTGGAAACAAATTAAAACGTACAGCTCTGTTATCACTTCCAGCATAAATGAAGACAGAAAACTAAACAGCAGTGACGTTTGTAGGGTTACTGAAGTTGTGGCTAGCTGGTATATAATGATGTGCTACGTGACCGCTAGCGACACAGCTATGTTAGCATAATATAAACAAGCTAACTTTTTTTCCACTCGATAAAAGTTAACGTGAGTGTTCTCGGTGGTCAGGAACAAATGTAATCGCATGGCAGGATGCTGTAAAAGGACCAAACTTCAGCCAGGAGAACAACTGAGATAATCCATCCACAATACGAGGTTAGTCATTCATATACTGCTGCATGGGCTGGGCTGTAGTTACATCCTAAGGTTTTAAAAACTGAGCTTAAATAAATGATTAGCGGTAATAAAAGCCGAGGGAGGTCAACAGGGATCACTGACTGTTTTAGGAGCTTTTTGAGATTAAATAGAAGAAAATACAAAACATTAAACATGTTAACAACACAAAAGCCATATTAAACGCAGACTACTTTAGACCCGGAAGTAGGATTCGTCACGTCATCACTTAACGACCGGATAGTGATTATGCTCTATTTTACTTCCTCGACTGTAAGGGGACCAATTAGCTGCTCATCTCTGTCGACAGTGCACATTCACATAAAGAGCCTGAGAATCCCCCTTCTTAGCGTGGATTCGTATGAATTAACACAAAATAATGTGGATTAGTGGAGCAGGTCTTAACAGTAAAAGTTATGTTTAGTATTATTAACTTGTAATTCCATTTAATTCAATAAAGTGCTGATGAATGGACTCAAAAAGCACGGGTGTGTAACTAAGACTGTCCAAAACGTGCCGTATCCAACATGTAATTACATCATATCAGAGAAGAGATAAAAATGGAGGTAATGGAAGAAAAAGAGGCGGCAGGATAATGAAAATGGCAAACAGGAGTAAGGGTTTCTGTCCAACCCTCAGCCGTCTCCAGACATATCAGAAATAGAAGGCAGACTATGCGGAGATGGCTGCCAGAGAGGCAATCAATAAACTTTCACATTTCATGCTGCAGTGTGCGTTTGTGTGCGTGCGTGTGCCAGCTGTGTGTATTTATGTGACTATATGCGTTGCTGTATCAAATTTGAAACTACCTCACTGAAAGCAGTTGTGCCAGACTGATGAGACAAGCTGTCACATTACTAGAAAATGTACCCGACTACACACCCCCCCTGCCCAAACCCAACATATGACCTTTGAGGTTCCCACCATGATGTTCGGGCTTGGCCGCGGTCGAACATCATATTTTTGGCCTCAGGGCAGTCCTCAGTACTCGATCTGAAGTAAACTTTTAAGTATTGTACAGATACACATCAGTGCCCAATTAATCTTAGCAGCAGCCGCTCTGGAAACTGCCTCTTAAAGGCAAATCAAAAGCTCGGTGTACTAGTCCGTGCTCTTACGTTAGGGAGAGCTGCTTGTATTGATCGACCTGTCCAGAATGCTAAAGAAGCTACACGCTGACACCGTTTTAGTGTGGACGTTCACATTAAAGACAATAACGTGGTTGATGGTGCCTAAAGGCGCCTAAGAGCGAACAGCTCGAACTTCTCTCTTCTTTTCTTATTGAATTTTTAATAATGCGATAGCATCATCTGTCCTGTGTAATTGATTGCAGCTGATCTGGTTCGGCGATGACCTTGACTTTTACCGTGTCTCCTCTCTTTTTCCCTTCCTCTCTCCCCTCTCTCTGCCTTATTTCCTCCTCTCGTTCATCCCTTCTCCCACCAGGCCTGTAGATCCTGCTGAAACCTCCTGTAGTCATTTTTTGCAACACCGAAAAGCAACGACTTATCTCCCCCACGCAACCCGGGCTTAGGAGAGAAGAAAAAGAAGACAAATAAGAGGAAGAAGAAGGAACGAGAAGAGGTCTTATAAACCACGACAAATCAAACAAGAAAATACTGGAAATCCCCATCGGCCCAGCGCTGTACAACACCACTGTGGTTTTTTTGGTTTGCTGGCTTTTTTAACTCACTTCTCCTTCTCCTTCTCCTCATATGTGCTTTTCTCGTTGCATCTGTCCTTTCCTGTATCAGTCTTCTCTCTTCTCCTCGATCATCTCCCTCCTGTACTTCATCCACTATTGATTATTCCATTTCTTTCTACAGTTTCCATTGTATTCCATTTTGGCACCTCTCTCCCGCTCTGGCAGCCAAACACTGCGTGTTGGGAGCATTTGTGGCAACATGCCACATCCGTAGGAGATACTTGAAACAACATGTATATTGATATGGTAACAAAAACAAAAGATAAACAAATCCAATTCATGTTGAACCACACCTTAAACCTCTGCTCATTTGAAATCTGGTAAGCTTTTGTTTTCACCCCGATCATTGCTCTCTCTGTTTTCTTTTCCCTTGTTTTTCCTCACCCACCCACGAATAGAAAAATCGCTCCGATATCTATCAGCGACTCCTCTCCTGCCTCCTCGTCTATCTATTGACCTCTCTCTGTCTCTCACTGGACCAGGAGACATTGCAAAAGCTGAGCTACTGTCCTGGTCGGGGAAGAGCATTGACTTTTTGATGTGTTTCTTTCTTTTCTGGTCACAGACTGTGTTTGATCTTGTTTCACTCTTTAAGCAGACAGAACAAAGCCTGTTTCCTTTGTCTGCAGTGGTTGTTGTCTTTTAGGACGAGGTGGTAGCCATAAGCCTTCAAAGTCAGAAACTCTCTGGAGTCGTTTCTTCGATTTGCTTCTGTTTTTATTGCATTAGTTGTCATGGAGTGGAAAACAGTCTATCTTTATAGTAACGGTGTAAACCTTAAAAACAAAAAAGTACTATTATAAATATTTTATTTTTTACCATTGTATAAATATATACTATTGATTAACTTATGTACTTTGATTGCAAGTTCTTTGGTCGCCCACACGGTGGTTAAATAAAAAAAAGAGGAAACATTTTCTGTGATTTTAGGCACTATTTCTAATGCTATGGATGTGTTGACTATTTTATTGTAACATCTTTTTTTCATTTCTTTCCTTTTTTTGTTCCTTATTTTAAAATCTGTGATTAATTGCAGAATCAGGAGTCGTGTTTATAAGACTGCATTTGTGTTTAGGTTCGATTCTGTCTCCAGTCAGTTCTGTCCTCTGCTGTTCGCCCTCTGTCTCTCATTACAAGACACAAGAAGACGTGTACGAAAACAAAGGCTGTGGTTTCGCTGGATAGTTCTGCTTTTTTCTCTTGCGCTCATCTAAAGAACTTAGCGTGTGTGGGTCCGTTTGGAAGACCACCGTAAAGAAAAAGATGACATTTTGAATGAGTTATGTCTGTCTTTTGCACTAATTTAATAAAGCCGTTACTGAAATTCCCACAATGTTATTTTCGAAATTGTGTTTTTCCTGAAAATCTTTTTTTACTCCTTTGGAGAACACGCTGTTAGCTCGTTCAACAAAAAATGAAAGTTAGCCTGTTTTTATTTTAGGGTCAGAATTACTAATTAGGGCAAATTAACTTAGTGTGTGCTCATTTATGAACCTGGATGGACACCACTTCATCTTAAAAATAACTAATTTTAAAAAGACCTGATAATCTTCTTGCAAAAGCAAAAGAGTGTAAGTGCAGATTTATACAGAGAAGATCTTCATTATTAAAAAATAAGTCCATCGTATGAAATCTGTGTACTATGGTTGACCTGTAGGATATGTGGAAGAGCTCATTTACTTTTCCAGTCTTAGTGAAATTCCTGGTAATGTGCTGCGTGTACCGCTCTCATTTTCCTTTGCTTTTTGGGGGGTTTTGGGGTCAAAGGAAAGAATCAGGGCAACAACTCAACAGATTTTTCTAAATAAAAATTAAATAGTGACACCTGAATTGGATATTCTAAGATCGGGCATTAATTTATGCTTCAAATGTACTGGCGTTTGATGCCACAGAGAAGTAATACAGTGCAAACAGCTTAGTCACTGCAAAAAGTGATTTTGCTGCCTGTAGTGTCAGCTGTGTATTAAACTACTGTTCTCTCCATTCCACCTATGATCCCTGTTACATTCTGCACTCTTACAGTAAAATAGCAAATGGGCAGTGAATACCTGTGACTGTAAATGGGAAGATTGCAGGCTCAACTTGTGGTTGGCTTGGGAACATAATGCAGCGAGCAGCAGTATGGCTCAATGCCAAGAAAGAGCACCTCAGATTGAATGTTGAAAGTGTTGATGGAAAAGTATAGACAAGCTCATATGGTAGCAGTAGTCAGGAGTAGTATAGCAGTATGTGAGGGTGGTGCAGGACATGTATGAGGACAGCCGGGCAGTGGTGAGGCGTGCAGGACGAGTGACAGAATGGTTCAAGGTGGAGATTATCAGGAATCAGTTCTGTTTGCAGAACTTTTGTTTGCGCTCGTGATGGATAGGTTGGCAGATGAGGTCAGGCAGGAGTCTCTGTGGACGAGCACATTTGCTGACGACATTTTCATTTGTAGTGGGAGTAGGGAAGTGGTGCAGAGGTGGAGGTATGCTCTGGAGAAAAGAGGATTGAAGGTAGAGGCAAGAAGGAGATGGGTGTGGTGAAGGTGGATGAGCTGAAATTCCTGGGGTCAACCATCCCAAGCAACGGACAATGCACAGGAGAAGAAGAGCGTGTAGGCAGGGGTGGAACAGGTGGAGGTGAGCCGGGTGATTTGTGACTGGAAGACAGGAGCAAGAGTGGAAGGGAAGCTTTATAAGACTAGTGAGACCTCCTATCATGTGTGGTTCAGAGACAGCAGCAAAAAGACAGGAGGCAGTGCTAAAGGTGGTAAAGCTGAAGATGAGTTTTAATGGGAGCGACTAGGATGAACAGGATTAGGAAATGATTAATTCTGAGAGACAGCTCAGGTTGTGCGGTTTGGAGATAAAGCTGGAGAGGCAAGGAGGTTGAGATGGTTTGATGGAGCTGGCAGGCAAAAGGAAAAGAGGAAGACCAGAGAGAAGGTTTACAGAGTGACAGAAGAGGATGCTACGGGTAGGGTGAGATGGAGGCAGATGATCCATAGTGGCAACACTCAAAAGGACTCAGTGCAGAGGAAAGAACCAAAGCTTTGGTAGGAACCCTTAATGTCACTGTCAGACAGTTTGGAACGTACGTATGTTTTTGCTTCTGTTTCATAAGCTGAACAACAAAGAAAAATGGTTAGAATGTGTCTAATTGAGCGTTTGTAACTGTGACGACTAACATCGGTGCTTCATACAGACAACAGTGGTTGATAAATAAACTGTTATTAAAAGTCATCACCAGTTTACAGCATGCTGAATATTGGCTATGAAACACTGTATATGATATAGGACAGTTTAGCATCTGAAGCCTGTAAATCTCTATCTTGAAGACTCTTACCCTATACATATATAAAATATGTATAGGGTAAGAGAATAAGCAAATAGAGGGACTCACAGAAGCAGACACAGCAAGAAAGTCTATGCTCCTCCTCTATTGCTCTTTATCCATTTTTTGACAGGTTGTGAACACTAAGCCAACAAAGTGACTTTTATCCAGAGAGGTTAAAAGGGTACGTTTCCTCTGATGTATGCTGACACCAGCTGGAGCGATGGTGAGGAGATAACGATGGCCATTTTATCTCTTTATCGTCACTTGGATGTTAAATCCTTAAATCAAAACACAAAGTTTTATTCATTCGCACTTGTAGATTTTTACACTCTTTGAGTTTTCAGCGACAAAGAGACACGACACAGTGTGTAATGTCTTCACTGATGTATGCGTCCTAAACGCGTAGCTGTCAGCTCTCCTTATTTTAACAAACGGTGAGGCCTAACAACCCTGACGTCTCGCTTTATTAGTCACGAGTCACTTTGTCACTCTGATTATTTTATATATTTTTAGAAAATCTGCTTTTACAATGAAATCTCTGATCCCTCACTGTGACATATACATGTGAACATTTCGCAGGCAACCTGTCTGTGTTGATCAGCGATTATTCTTATAAAGAGAAACTATTATTTGAGCTAAACTGCCTTCTATTGAGCCTTTTCAGACTCAAAGACTTGACTTTAGGAAGAGATGGGAACTTGCAAAAGCATCGACTTAGCCAGCATGCTTTTAAAATGTACGTTCACGTATAGTTTAATGTTGTAAATTACAGGTTAAGTCTTGCACATACAGAGACTGTAATAGTTTCCATTCTGGCAAAATTGAACCATTAGAAGTAATTACTGGATGACTTTACTGTAGAAAAAATCTTAATGTGTTGTTCATGTGTTATATAAATTTTTTTCAGGTTTTTTGCGTTGGATATACTCTTAATGATATCTAAGCAAAATGGTTCAGGTGGTAAAGAAAATGTAACTTACATATGTTTCACTGTCTGTGCTCTAAACTGACAGGACTCGGAGCAGCTGTGTGCAGCTGTCACTGCAGCTCTACTTTACTGCTAAGCAAGTCAAAATAACAGACCACACTACAAAAACTCATTTCCTGTTGTTATCTTGTCCTAACACTTTATAGCAAACAGCCTACTCACAACTTTACTGTCACACATTTTAATAACAGTCTTGAAGCTGCGCATACGCCGGTGCGTATCTGCACATTATCACAAAATGCTGCTTGTGTTGAGAAGTTGAGAAAATGATGGGCGAGGCGTTCATTTAACAAAACAAAACATTGCAGCTACTTACTTATAGCCTTAATTTACAGCCATATGCAGAATACTGCGTGTGATGCATTGGCACATATGCTCCATATGCTCATTAGCTGGAGGTTGACGGATTCGTGTGCCATGTTTTATTTTTGTGTTTCATGTCGCACACTCGTGCGGTGAAAAGCAGGTGTTTTTTCTGAGACACGTGATTTGACAATGAGGGACGAGGTGAAGGACAAACAGGAAGTTGAATATTTGAAAAACAAACTATGGCTGTATCCCAACTCAGGGTCTGCAGCCTTAAAGGCCGCATTTTAAGGCCGATTACGTCACAGCGACGCGACGAAGGCTGTCCCAATTCGAAGGCTGCTCGAAATGCGGCCCTCAGATACGTCCTTCATTTCCCTGAATTTTAAGGACGTGGCGGTGTAGACTTCGTGGCCCAACATATCCCAGAATGCATAGCGCGGCGGTGGGTGTGGATAATTTTGCAGAAAAAAAACGGCGGATGAGGGGCGCCCGAAGAGTAAACTCTAAGTAAGTACTGAATATTATGTCACTTATTTATGTGCGAATGTTTAATAACGAAGAACATTAAAACATTCCTGTTGGCCGCATGTCGGCAAAGTCATGTGACATTAGTGACGTTTGTACTAACTTGGTTTTAAAGCCTTTACTTTAAAATATACGCCGTTCAATAGCTGAGCTTAATCTTACAGAGAATGATCAAAGCTCGTGTAGAAACAAACAAACAGATGAACAAAAGATTTTCTCCTTCATTTCTGTCAAACGAAGCTGTATGACACGTTTCCAGCTGTTAGTATCATGGTTGCTAGGCAACCTGGGCAGCGCGATGGAGGCTAGACCGTCTCATTTCACAAGCCTCGCACTTCCGGCCTTAGTGGTCTTTGAGTACGCGGCGCTTGAGGATCGTTGAGGCTGCGTCCTTTAAGGCTGCAGACCCTGAATTGGGATACAGCCGATGAGATTCATATGGAGTGAAGTCAAAGTGACTTTTCCTCTGCCTCCTCATTTTAAAAACAAAACCATCCATTGGTTGTTTTCATTTTGCGTCCAAATTCCAAGGTTGCTGCTTAATAGCGTTGCAGGTGTGTAGGATCTATACGTTTCATTCTAGAAATGCCAATAGCAGCCATACTATCCCGTAATAATGGCACTAATATCCTTCATCCGCCATCTCCCACTCAGCAATTCAGACTCATTTATTCCCTCCTAGATGATCATTTAGCACCTATTAACACAAGATCCTCATCTGTAATGACTGCTTGATTATCATTTCACTCTCATTCTACTTTGGCTTAGCAAGGTTAAGTAACGCCCTGAACCTGTGACAAATGCTGAATGGGCCATTGACAGATATTGGTGGTAATTACAGTACCGATATATTCGAGCCGGCCCACAGGGTCACTTTATTATTTGCCCCATCCATCAGCTGGTATTTTCCTTCGCTCCTCGCTCTGATAATGTAGCGTACCCACTTTAATCTGATGACCATGTCACCCCGAACCTTAACAGCGGTGACACATATACCCACAGTCAAGTTCAAAACGTGGCACTCAAATCATTATCCTGGTCCCACCACATCTTGCATATGCATTCAAACAGATTAAAACATTTATGCCCTCTCATGGTTTCCTGACAGTAGCACTCAGTGACTCTTAAAACTCTGACATTGCCCTTCGCCTCAGCTTTTGTGTTATTGGTCATTCACAAGCGCCAGCATGATGACAAAGTAAACTAAATGGTTATTTAGGGTTTTTTTTTGCTAATTTTTAAAATCTGAACGTGAAACAAAATAATAGCAATGATATTAATACAAAGAATAATAACAGCTTTCTATTATCTCCCTGTAAATGTGCACCAAACATGTTCTTTAAATATAATCACTGCTGTGTTATCAGCCTTGACACAGAAGGATGCCACTATCAAGGGCATGGATATACGAGTCAAACTGTACTACACCCTCCAGATAAAGGAGGCACATAGAGAACAAGACTACACTGACCTTGATCTGCACTGAGATGAGGGTACTTCCCTACAGCTTTTATCTGTAACGTTTTTGATCACAGGTCTGCAATAAGAAGCTCGTTTTGCTTTTGTTTTGTTTTCCGTTTTCTTATTCTTTTGCAATCCAGGCTTTTCTTTCTATGTGGATACATGATCAGGCACCCCCTGGGTTATTCATCAACAAACTACATTTTTCTTAGTAAATGGTCAACAATCACTAGCCATGCATCCCATTTGGGAATACTTGATGAAAAAGCTGTTTCTTATTCTTAACCCAATGAAACGTATTACCACAGGATCTTTTGTGAAGTGACGTAGGACATTTAACTATTTAAAATAAAAATCCTGTCCGTTTGGAATCAGAATTGTGATCTAAATGCAGTGTGGTACAAAACCCATTCTGCTTTTCCAAACGAGGGAGGGAAGCCAAAATAATGCCCCCCAGGAGCCAGAGGCAGACAGAGATGGAACCAGGACAATCATGCCATCTGCAGCCTCTCAGACTACCAAAGACCTGAGGCCACACGTTTCAGCAACAACTGCACGCCACTCCTAGCAGGAGCAGAAGAGAGGCCCTACATGATGTGCCCACGGCCAAAGGGTGAGAGTCCCAGAGGATCAGAGGCAGTAGGCAGTCGACACCGCTAGAGGCCGGCCACCGTGGTACCAGTCGAGAACGGGGTCCCAGGTGCTCAACAATCAACCGGCACCCAGAGAATCAGACATCCTAACCTGGGTCAACCAGTGCTCTTAATTTAATTCAGTTCAATTTCAATTTATACAGCGCCAAATCACAACAGCACTTTGGTGACAGTGGGAAGGAAAAACTCCCTTTTAACAGGAAGAAACCTCCAGCAGAACCAAGGTCAGGGAGGGGCGGGGCCATCTGCTGCGACCGGTTGGGGTGAGTTTGACATTTAACGTTCCAAACGTAAGTGTAACTGTAAATATGAACTAAAGACTGCAGTGGCACAACTAGCATAATGGATGCAAGGTTGATTGTTCCAGAAGGGCCATCTAACAGTGCACAAGGTGTTATTGTGCTGCTGTGACGCTGCTGGAGCAGCTGCACAGGCTCTAGCTCAGCTTTCTGGAACTTGTATTGTAAGTGTTCAGATGCAAACGCTAGTACGTGTGTAATAGCTTTTTCTATATCATTTAAGGAGCATTTTGTTCCAGCTGCAGAGATGGTGTGCACTCTCAATATAGGTACAGGGAATTGCACTAGTTCCTCATGAAGGAGACAGATGTAGGAATACAGATGCTGTTTTTATTGCAGAACTTGTATTTATATGTACTGCTACACAGCAGGGCCAAGGCCACTAAGACAGAACAACTGTTTGAAGACTGTTTGCTGTAGCGAACAGTAATCAGTCCCTAAGAAGCCCAGAGCTTTATCGTGGGATCTGTAGATAACTTGTACTTTTTATTTCAAAGTGTATGTCTCTCTTCTGAGATAGCACAAATTTAATCTGCAGCAGTAAGTGTAAGTGTTTGATACAGACCAAAATAATCTTTTGAGAATTAGAAGATCATTCCCTACTTTGCAGCATTATTCTAGAAATGTTATGGTTTGCGTTTGCTCCACTTTCTCTGCGGCCATGCAGCTTGCAATCCACAATTCAACTGCTTGAAAATAATGTGAGACAATCTGTGCAAAAGCTGAAGTTACGCAACAAGCTACGTAACTTTTGAGTAGGATCCCAACTACACCAGCAAATACCCAAAGGAATGGCTGAGAAAGAAGAAGTTGGCTGAGAGGCTCTTTGAAAAGCACAAATTAAATCCCACTGAAACCCTGTGGAGAAATGTAAAGGGACAGCAAACACCGAAGAACAATGAAGAAATGGCAAAATCGCAGCAAGCTGGTGTAACAGACTGAAGGATAATTATCCAGAAAGTCTTTTTGCTCACAGGAGCAGTAATAACTTTGAATGATAACGATGTATTTACCTCTTCTACAGATTAATATCACATCTATTACAGCTGAATGTGCCTTAATTTTCCTCGTATTTGAGGTCAAGTATCTCATCTTTGTCAGTGACTGAACAGGATCAAGGTTTGCTTATGCAAATGTCTTTGAATGTGTGTTTAACTGTAAATAAGTCTCTTAATAACCTCTCTAATTTAAATATCCATTTTATAAAGTCCACATAAATACAAAAGCTCTTCTTTATCGTTCTTTTAGTTTGTCTTTGTAATATTTCAAGGTTTCTAATGTAACTTTCTCTCCTTTTCTGTGTTGTATTGCAGTATTGAAAGGTTTTGATAATAAGGCGACAACATAAAGTTCGAGGTTGTAGAAGTCGGTGTACAATGCCAACAGACATTGCCTATTTATGGTTAAGAATATAATAATAATAATAGTATATTGTTCAACTCATTACCAGTGCGGTGTAATAAAAAATAGACAGTTTATATTCATCTCAGGTGCAGGAGCTAAAGTTGTTTTTGTTTTCATGGCTTTGGGGCCAATAATTGCATTAAATCTAATATCGTGTTGCCTCAGAGGATTTATCTTTAAGCTGTTTTACATTCTTTAGAGGTTTTAGCAACCAAGGAGTGGTGTCAACTTTGAATGTACAAAAGTGAACACAGCACCTCTGCTAGTGTATTTTATCACACCATAGCTGCGTCCCAATTCATAGGTCGCATCCTTCGGAGGCCACATTTGAAGGCCAATTATGTCACAACCAGGCGATGAACGCTGTCCCAATTCGAAGGCTGCTCCAAATGTGTCCTCCTTTCCCTGGATTTGAAGGATGGGTCGAGTGTATCCTTCGTGTCCCAACCTATCCCAGGACTCATAGCGCCGCCCAGCCAATTCCAAGGTAAAATAATGGAGGCTCTACCTGTTAAGCTGGGCTCACACTGTGTGATTTTTGGCCCATTTTGAGCCAATTTTTGAGTTGTGCGACCGTTTTGGTGATCGGCCCGATTTTGGCCTTCATCGTGTGTCGTGCATCGTTTAGTATACGTGGGAAGCGATTAACACCTCACGACCAGCTCCCGATCATCAATCGCTTGGTCGTCGTGAGGGCGTCACCGCAGCTTCTCACACTGCGCACGCGCGAACACATAAATGTCGGCAGTGCAGCGTGTGATCTGGACACAAGCGATGGAGGCACAACTTGTAGAACTTTGGAAAGCTCATCTGAGCGTTCTGGTTAGCCTTGTTAGCCTGTTTATTGATGTGGTAAATAAATAGTTTATGAAAATATCACTAAATCTGTCATTTATCAATGTTA